AGGCAGGCTTCAGAGTAAAGAAAAGGTAACACAGTCCTGGGATTATAGATAAAAGCCTCAGGGTCATAACTGTAAGTAAAGGAAAGCTGAGATATTTTTGTCTGTCTCATATTTCTCCCAGAGTCCTTGTGTGACCCATACCTTGAAGGGCAGTAATGTGGACTCAATGGAATAACCCAATTGCAGGCACTCTTCAGTATCCAGATGAATTATTTCTCTTTTCCCATATTTAGACTGGATCTTTTTGTTCTTAATGAGCACAAACGTGACATCAATGGCTCACATGCCTACATCTGTTGTCTTCTGGGATACTGACCCCAGAGAGATGGCTTAATGCACAGCCTAAAAGTATGCTGTAAAATCTATAAGGTTTTACCCAACAGTGCTGTATTAACTGCATATATTTTCTGTGGAAACTGTGGTCTCTGTGCCTGCCTTTGCTAGCAACCAGACAGAGCATCTTTAGATACATCATTAACAAGAAACCACGAATTAAGCTCTATGATGATGAATGAAGCCTTTCAAGTCAAGGTCTTGCTCCTTAGATACTGTTGACACAGGAGTGCCAGGCTTGCAATGTGCAGGTAGGAGTTTGCACAGTGGTTGGTCTGATATGATGCACTGATTCCTCTGGGGTTGTCTCTGGACTTGCTTCTAGCAAGTGGTGCCCATTCCCACCCACCAGCTGGCCTGATGCTGCTCTTGGGTTCTCCTTGCCTTCTCAGGAGCACATGAAGACTCACAGCAGACCTGGTTCCAAGTCATCCCTGGAAAAGCAGAGCTTTGAAATTTGAAAATTTGTGATTGGAGGAGTCAGTGCAACACTATATATTAGCACAGGCATGTGCAGTTACAGAGAGCACAGTAATGACTTGGAAAGATTTGGAATTTCATGTGGATGTGCATAGACAGAAAACTAGAAAATGGTTTTTCCACTGCCTTGCTTTTGGTGTAGGAAGTTGCACTTTTGAAAGTGTGGATCTAAATAATTGCAAAATTAAACCATACAAAAAATGCATAGTTTTATGCATTTTACTCATACAGTGATTGTGTAAATAAAACCCTAGGGACACAGCAGAGGGAAATCAGGCCATTTTATGCTGTTGACTACCTAATTTAATCACTGTTCAACCCAAATTCAGAATAACAGGGATTGGAAAACAAAAACCAACTTTATTATGATGAAGTAATGAACTTAAATCACTAGACATAGGTGAGGCTTCTGTAGATCAGATATCAAATCCAATATTATCACAAATGCCACCTAGTATTAGCAACACTTTCCAGAGTTCAGGAACACAGGAAGGGCTTTCTTTTGACTTAAACCATTGCAGCTTGAAAACTGATTTTCTAGCCTTCTGCCAGTAGAAGTCAGAATAAGGTTTAGAATATGATTAGTGCAAAATATAAATGTTTGATAATGCTTGGTGGTTTCTTATGTTGTTGTTTTGTTATGATTTTTTCATTTGTTTGTTTGTGGTTTTTCATTTTGTTTTTGGGGGTTTTGGGGGTTTTTTTGGAGTGAGGTATTGGGTGGTTTTTTCATATAATTACTTTTTGAGAATAACTTATTTACATGTTCGTCTGTTAAGAGCTGGTGATAGCTCTGTTAGTTTGCATTAGAGTGTGAGTACTGTCAGTGGAAATAAATCTGGCATTCATATTCTCCTCACAGAGCCTCAAGTTTTGCTCTATCAACACTTTCCTTAAGTTCACTGCATTAAGGATTCAATATGACAAGTGTGCACCTGGAGGCAAAGCCCGCTGCCTTCACTCCCCTCTTTCCCTGAAACCCCAAGTCTTTAATTTTCCTTTGTTCAGGATAAAATGATATGTAAAGTATGTGTTGCCATGGATGCAAAACTGAGAGCCTATTGATCCTCCCCTTTTCCAGGTAGATATCAAGCAGAATATGTAACATCAGAGGGTAGTATGGCATGGATGCCAAGACAGAGTCAGATTGGGGAAGGGAGAAACTACTTTAAAATTGAAGTTTCCATAGCTCAAAAGTGTCTTGTTGAAATACAGCAACTCTGACCCTTGGGGAAATTGCTGGACTTTTTCTCCATGTGCTCAGCAGCATTCCTCTGCCAGCACTGCCTCCCCTCCTCCATGTGCTTCCCACCATGCAAATGACATGGTTCATTCCCATTTCCCACCCAAACCCACTCAGATTTGAGCTGTGTCCCAGATATTTGTTCTGTATGCCACAGATTATGGAACAATGGCATTTTAAATGCCATGCTAGAGTGCTGTGAAGATGAATGTCTGAGACTGCTGCTGAAGGATTCCCAACTGCTGAATAGCCCAGCTGGGTCAAGCTGCCTATCCACCTAGGGCAGGCAGGTAGGGAGAGCAGAACACACCGCCACTTATGGCTCAGGGACTTCTGGAGACGACACCTCAGCCACTGTGCTCTTCTCTTGCAGCAGATGAGACCATGCACCTGGTTCTCATGAACAGCACATGGGGTAGTGTTGAGCTGCTGCAAGAGGCAGTCATCTCACAAGAGTGCTACAGTGCCAGAGAGGGACACAGTAGGGGTGTGGTATAAATAAATCCATTTCAAAAGTGATTTACAATGTTTCTCTAAGTTAATTTCAACCTTATTTTTTATACCTATTGTATTTCCCATGGCTTTATACCCTTTCCTTTCAGTAGCAGCATACTTAACGTCAATTTTCCATTGCAATTATGTTGGACTGTGGCCTCCACAGAACTCCACTAAAACTGTTTTATTTAATTTTGTCTAAAGAGTGTAGCATTGCCTCCATAGACTTGCACCAAAATTGACTCATTTTGCTTCAGATTATTTTTTCCCCCATAGGATTGCATTATTACAGCTCAAGCTTGTTCCTCATTGCTGTAATCAGACGCTTTATTCCAGCCTGGGTTATGTGTTAAATGCCTTTTTTAGGAGGTTTTATATTTTTCATTGTGGGGTGAGCTCTGCGTACCTGTGGGCAGAGCTCTGCTCAGCAGGGCATGGCTCACAGTGCAGGGGGCCAGAGGAGCCTGCAGTTGGGTGAGCATAAAGCTGAAATTAGCTTCTAGTTCGGGTAGCTCGATGTCTCTGTTACTGGGGCAGGAGAAAGGTGAGGGCATCTGCAGAAGCAGCGGAGACCATTGTTTCCCTTGTTTCCAACAATCACTCCGGAGACCATTGTTTCCCTTGTTTCCAACAATCACTCCGTTGTAGGGCCCTTGCTCCTTTGTCATTCATAAGAGCTACTGCAGCAGAAAGGCACTTTCTTTTTTCTAACTGAAACGGGCTTTAATAAAGCTATTGTATTTGATCGCTGGTTAAGGAAGCAATAATTTAGCATAATAAAAAAAGATCATTAATGTTCAATGAACCTAACACTCTGCTCCAGTTTTTGTTGCCCTAGAGAGATGGAGTAAACTCTTCTTCCTTAATTGAAGACTAAATAGAGTACATTTCATTTTTCATTTCCAGCACTTTTTCCAATAGGCTTGTGATGTTCACTAATGTGTGCTGAAAGGGCTGGACTGCCTACAAGCAGCAGAGAAATTGGGTGGGAGGGTTTAGAGCACATAAAAACTTGCTTGTTCCTCATCAGACAGCTCTCTAGGGCCTTTGACTTCTTTCTTGACAAGCCTCATTTCTAAAGCCCCTAAGGACCATGCCAAGGAGATGTGGTAGTCCATTACATTACAAAATAGAGAGGAACAGAAGACAACGCTCACGTCCCTAAATGCCCCACAGCCAGCCCTCCATAGGACAGCTACATCAGAGAGAGACACTGCTAAAATTTGGGTTTGGATGGCATTTTGACTGCAAATGCAATTTTATATGAAAGCAAGCTGATAAATTCTTACAGGCATAAGGTTTGCATCACTGTAGCTCTGGATTCAAATGCCAAGGCCCACTCCCATGAAAGCACAGCCATTGTACTTTGCACTGGTGAAAGCTTTGGGCCACGTCCATCTCCATAGATCACTTCAAACACTTATGACCATCATTTGCAGTCACCTGTACCCATATACCCTACCAGAGCCATAGCACAGCTGCTGTCCTGAGCACTTCCCTCACATGGGTTGGAATATGCCTCTGCATCCAATACTCCATCAGTATTGTTGGGTGCAAGGCTGGTTCTGGCTGCTGTGGCTTGTGCAGGAGTGAGCTCCAGCCATGTGTAAGACAAGGAGGTGAAGCACATGGCAGACACTGCTGTTTCAGCTCTGCCCAAGCAGCTTGCTCACTATCTGCAGGCAAAAGGTGAGCTGCTTCAAGTCCAAGCGCTGGGCCAGCTGGACCTGACTGAATTAAATGCCTGAGCTCAGCTGTCATGAAATAAGCAACTCCACAGAAAAGCTGTGGCACAGCTAATAGCATCCCTGTAGCCTTCGTTTAGTGCAGTAAAAGAGGGCACCGCCAAGGACCATTTTTCCCCTAGAGCCTTGCTTGATGCATTTTGCAGTCGGAGAATGCACCATCCTCATTCCCTGCTGTGCAAGAGCAAAAGTAGAGGACACGATCAGCGGCAAGAAGCAAACTGAAGCAAACTGGGTAGCGGTGCTGCAGCAGGAACTTACCCTAAATAAATAATAAAGGACTTCCAGTGCATGTTGTTACACTGCCTGATGTTCAGGCCAGACATCGTTGATAAAAACTACGCGAATTGCAGTGATAATTAACAGGATTAACGATAATCACTTGTTCTGGGGACACAGCGAGTCCCTGGTGATGCACAGCGGATTCGCTGTCACCGAGGGATCTCTGAGTGGGTGTTCGTGCGGGTATCGTGGGACGCCAAGTGCTTGGGCCCGCGGAGCGCACGTTCAGAGGGTGCCTGACTCCTCCGGGCCGCGGACCAGCAACAGCCCAAACCCACCGAGCCGCCCGTGCAGCATCGCCGGTTTAAGGCTCCGGAGGGCCCGGCCCGGCCCCGGGGGCGGAGCGGGACGGGGAGCGCGGGGCGGGGGGTGCGCGGGGCCCCGCGGCGCCGAGCGGGGACCGTGGGGCGGGGGAGCCTCGGCGGGAGCGACAGTGGGGCATCGCAGGCGGTGACCGTGGGGAGGGGACACCGATCAGGCATTTCCTCAGCTGCCCAAAATAGCCGGGAAGCGACCTGCAGTCGCGCAGAGTCGCGCGCTCCGTGGGCAGGCACAGGTGCCGTGCGGGGGAAGAACGGATGGGGACGACATGAAGACAAGGTCAGGGATGGTCTAAGGCAAAACACTGCCGCGTGAATGAGGGGTAGATGTCACCAGTCCAGGGCAATGGTTGCTTTCCGTTAGGGAAACAGCTGGGAGCTCCTGGCGTAAGTTATAATTGTGCACGTGGCTCTTGATAATCACCGAAGTGTGGGTTTCCTTGATGTCTGTGCCACCCAGCCGGCCTCTCCTGAACAGCTCCAGCCTCCTGCCATGTCACTCCAGGAGGTGGCTGAGCCTGCAGTCCTGCCCTGTCAGGTGGCAGCTTGAGGGCTGTTCCAGGAACCTGCTGGTGCCAGATGCCCTGGTAGGTTTCATCATATATTTCCCAAGAAGTTGCTTGATGGCTGCATTACTGAAAGTCCAATAAAAGGGCAAAGCAATGGGAGGCTTTTAAACTATTAAACTAGACAGGGGCAGGAAGGATACTCAGAAGAAGCATCAGGAATTGGAAGTTTATTACTCAGTTGACAGCTACATTATTCATTAACAGACAAAACGATCTGTGCAAGAAGGCGGCACTCCCTGTGTTCCCTCATGTTCCTTCACTGCTGGATGCTTTGGGAAGCTACTTTGGTGCTGGTGAGAGAGGGGAGTTGGAGTGGTTCAGGGGGGTCTGTCAGTAAAATATCAATCCTCTGGCCTTCAAGTTGCTTCCAACCATAACGGAAGGCTGGTGCCATGTGATGACTACCATGAGTAGTGCATGTAGCATAAGTGTTGTCTCATCTGGCAGTGTTAGCAAAAAGGCTAATAATGAGGGTTTTTTCCCAACTGCTAGATGGTGGGAAAAACATATGATTTAGCATATTTTATATGTAAAGTAGGGATTTCCATAGGGTTTATAAAAACAGCTCCTGTTTTGTGCCCAGGGTCTGTTGTGATTGCAGCGGAAATTGGGCATATTAAAGTTGTTCTGAGAAATAAAACCTATTATTTGGGGGTATGGAAGAAATGTAACTTCAAGTCTTCATCTAGGAAGTAGGCTGTGTTCTTTCTTTAATCCTTAGTTGCTCCTGAAGATCAAGGCTTTTCTTTTTTCTAAGGAGAGTGTCACACCACAGACCCATTCATACAAGCAAGATTGCTATATAACTGTGTTCTTCTTTGTCCTTGTCTGTCTTTAGCATTAAGCAAACCAAGAACTCCAGAAAATCGGGGAGAAACATGGCTAGCTGAGTTGGGGGTTTTTTTTGGAGGAGGCAAGAGTCCCTTGTTCTATTTTGTGCTTTGGTTCAAGCTGCTACTAAAAGAATATACTGATGCTTGAGCCTTTGTGACAACTTCACCTTCTCAAGGTCTTTTCTGGAGTCTGGTTCGGAGCAAAGTGATCTCTGGTGGGCTTGGTGTTGCAGTGAGATTACTGACAGTCCTCTCTGTCATGGTGTGCCCCCTCCTCTGCCCCCACTCCCTGGAAGTTGTGCATAACCTGCCTTTGGTCCATGCTGACTCTTACTTATATCATAATGTACACAGGTTAAATTAATTGAATGCTACTGATTTATATATACTCACATCTAATCATTCAGCTCCCATCTCCATTACTGAAAAGATTAATACATGCTAGCTAAAGCTTTTATTTCCTCAGAGAACAATTTTTCTTGAAATAAGCTAGCAAGCGTGTGTTCATCATGTGTCCTGCTGACACCCTCCCAGGTACTTGGTTCCTTGCTGTACCATCTGTGTGAGGTGGGCTATGGCTGAGGACAGCCAGGTAAAGTTGTTATGAGTTAGAAATGCTCTGCGGGAGAGCATCAACATCTATGAATTGGTAGGCTTCTTGCTGTGTGAAGAGAGGGTGGGTCAAGTAAAGGCCAAATAAGATGGATTAGTGTTTGTGCATAATTCAAATTGTTGGCTTTGTCCAGGCTGGAAAGGCTTTAATGGCTAAGATTTTTTTAGCACTGGGATAGATCACATTGTCTGTAGTGTGTGTTTAAGCCTAAAGGACTTGCCTCCTGTCCCTGCAGAGAAGTGCCCCTGCATGTTGCCATTGTGCTCACTTATTAGTTTATAACTGCTTACTTTTGAGAGAACAGTAATGCAAACCAGTTGGGACAGTATTTCATCTTGCAGAAGAGCCATATAGCAAGGGAAACCAAAAGTGCAGTGGGTGCCCCCACGCTGCTCAGGGGTCAAAGCTGCAGAGCTGCCGAAGTGGAGCCAGGTCGTGGCTGAAGCTGGAGTCAGGTGGAACTTATACACATATCTCTGGATTTCATGTTCAGTGTCTGCAGTGTCTCTTGAAAAAGGGAAGAATGTTCTTGTTTTCCACCTCTATCAGTCAGTTCAGGGGGATGTTAATGAACTATCGGGATGCTTCCTGACTTGTTTAAATCATTCTGCCTTCCATCTTGAGTATTACCAGTCTCTCAGGTCACTTGACACTGATGCTGCTTGCTTTCTGGAAGCAATCCTGCCAGTGTAGTATCTGTTATAAGATCATGGTTTCTTTTGCTTGGCAACTTGGGGCACCTGTGTGAAAACATTGTGGCTTTTGATTTTTATCTCTTGCTGCTGTTTATGCTTGTTATGTCACAAGCTGATTGCTCAAGTGATAATTGTGCTGTCCAAAGTGGAGGATGTAGTACCTAGGAAGTCTAGTGATTGGCACTCCAGAAGCATCATGAGACTTAGAGTGAGAAAGATGGGTAAGGAGCAGAGGAAATTCATTTATTTCTGTGCACCAGAATCCAAATATATGTGAAATAGGATTTCACTTTGTTTTGTGACCGTCTGGTAGATGATGTTTAGAAGGGCTCTTCAGCAGTGGGATGAGTACCGTCAAGTCAAAGAGTCTTGAGGTAGTGGTAATTGGTGGGATGGCAAGGAAGCATCAGAAGGAATTTTGTTAGGGTCAATCAAGGTGCATCCAAAAATCCCCATATTGTTGGTTGTGTTGTTGGAAGCCTTTAGTGCCCTTTGGAGGTGATCTCCTTTCCCACCTCTCATCGTCTCCAGTAGTACAGTTAGTTTAGCCTGGTCTTTGCCCCACACTCACTTTGGAAGGCTTCTGTATTAGCATTGACCACCCTCATTAGTGCTGTGACATGTCCCTGGAAGGTTGAAACTGGTTAGGGAGGATATCTACACCACTTCTTTGTTTCCACTGTGAGTGGAGGTAAGAGACAAAGTGCCTGATAGCAGATGATGCCTGTTTGGTGTAACAACCTCTTGTTCCTGGTGAGCCATGGTGGAAGGTGGTATCAGGATAAAGCAAAAATAACAGCAACTTGATGTAAAAATCCAGTAGTCTTGTTAATATGTGGTCTGGATTACTGGGCAGAAACACAAAGGGGACCTCCAGCATTCTTCCTGCTTTTCACTGTGTGAACAAGAGGGAGTTTGTCAAGAGTGATATCTGTGAGGGGCTAGATTTGACAAAGAGCCTTAGTCTCATATCTCCTAGCTTTGAAGTTATGAGGCAACTACTGTAATATCAACTACTCTTCTGATTTAGGGCCTAGGCTTCCCCTGTTATATGTGAGAACAGTTACTGAGAAGGTGATTTAGGAAACCCAAAATGTGGATCCATGAGGCCGACAGATGCTTGGCTTCCATGCCAAGGAGAACTCCTGGTTCATATGGGAATATACAGTGGTGAATCTTCTCCTTTTTCTTTATTCTGTCTAATTATTTATGCATAGACGAGGAGATACTGAGTCCTGCCCCAGAGGGGCCAGCAGACCAAGAGCTGGATCGCTTCCCTTGAGAGGACCTGGCTTCAGGTCTGTCAAGCAGAGAGCATCTGAGCCTGACCTTTGTTGGAAGGGTACTGGCTATGCAAAACAAGGGGATCATGAAAGCACTGCTTCATTTTGTTTTACATGTGGTCTGCCTGTGGCAAAGGCAAAAGAATGGTTCAGTGGACGAATTAGATGGGAAACAATGTGCAAGGCTGCTGCCAAGCTTTTTGGTCTCTGAGACTTAGGCAATCTCCTTGCTAGAGAAGGGAAAAAGAGTATCTAGAGTATTTTGTTGGTAGACACTGAAGTGTCTTTAGGATTAGATGGGAGGTTGAGGACATTTTGGAAGTCAGCGTTTGAATCAAAGTTTAGTTATCTAAGCCTCCCTCTAGCAAGGTGTCAGGACATTTTTCGAATTCTGTTCTGTTAAATACTGTAGATGAAATCAGAAAATGCTCCTGAATAAGCCTTGATTATACTTTGCCTCAACTCTTTCATTTGTCAACAAGCTGCTGCCTCTCAAGTAAGAGCAACAATTTTTTGCAGGGAGTTATTGAAGCGAATTAAACAAATATTTCAGGTATTCGTTAAGTGCCTCACACTTCACATTTTCTCTCCTGAAGATTGAATCCTTGATTGCTTCCTTAATTAGTACTTTTAAAATCTCTATTCCCATTTATAAATAAATCAAAATAGATATTCAGAGTATTAATTCATCAGGCACTCAATGTGCGTCCTCGAAAAGCAAATTTAACACCTGTGCCTGCAAAGAGTGAGTGCCCCCCACAAGCTCCTGAGCCACTGACTTTGGCAGTGCAGTGGCAGTGCAGCATCGAGGAACATCTCTCATAGCCCGACTTCATTAACAAGGATGCAAAAAAGCCATGAGAAAAATGAATTGCCTGTGCAATTACATTTAATTTTCTTTCTAGAAGGTTTCCCAGTTCACTTGGCAGCTATTCTTTCTTCCTTTTTTTTTTTCTTTTGCCAATTCATGCTTGCTTTCATTTTTTTCCCATTCTTTCTTGGTCTTTTTTGACTGAACAAAAGCAGTCCCACAAGGGCAGGCTAATGTATTCATAGTTTTGCTGCAACTTGGCTGATAGAATAAGCTGAAAAATTGCTGCCTCCCATTGTTTACTGAGAATCTTTGTTGTGCTTTGTAGAGTTGAAATGAGTGCTGTCTCGTGCCCTCTGCTCCCCATCCTTACAGAACAGAGCCTGTTGTGTGGAACCTGTTCAGGCTGGAGATGGTGGAAAGGCTAAAGTTCAAGTTCACAGACCCAAAAGTAAGTTACAGAAGTGATTGCTTGTTTGAGCATTTGCTTGCTTGCTGTTGCCTTTCATTCTCCTTGATCTAAGTTCAGTGCATTGTTAATGCCTATATGAACATTGCATTAAACTCTAATTAAGCCTGCCAATCAAAAAATCAGAGAAAGCAGGCTTCTAATGTGCTTAGTATTAAGTCGTATTTTCACCTTCAGTTTTCTGACTATGAACATTTAACTGTTATGTGAGGGTTTGCTGTTGTTTCGTGTTTTATTTGTTTGTTTTTCTCTGAACTGCAGACAAATACTTAATGAATTTTTACCCCAGTGTTTACCTTAATGGCTAGATTTTGTGGCTTTGGGCAATTATCACATGAAGGGTCCAGACTTTACCAGGCTGTAGCTAAGGTCACACTGGAGCATCATAGAGAACTCAAAGCTGTTCTGAGCTTTTCATGCAATGTCAGAGAATGTGATCAGGAGGGGTGAATACAGCAAATCATTCTGTAAGGTCTTTTTGTAAATAGGAGAGAAGGTGCAACATCCTCTATCTGACATTGGAGCAAGAGCCACCAATGGTTACAGCTAGTGTAAATCCTAATTTATTAACCAAAATCCAAAAGTGGAAGTATCAATGATGTGGCTTTGGACCTTCCACTGAGGCATCAAGAGAGAAAGCTACAGGGCAAAGCCACCATCTAGTAGTACCATTTTATAAATGGCCCTAAAAGAAGAGAGATGGCTTCTAATCCACAACATATTTGTAAAATAAAGCATATTGGTAGGCTTGAGATTACAGTATTTGGTACAAGAAAATTTTCATGATTGTAAGGAAAAACAAATAAGGATCGCACATTACAAAAAAGTCCCAAACCTCAAAGTCAGTAATAATCTCTTCAGGAAGACACCAGAAGCTTAGCTGCCTTCTTTTGATATGAATTGAACAGGATAAAATAATAGCATAATCCAGAGACTAGAGTGACTAGCCAACTTATCCTAACAGGGCTTTCCCATCTCTAACCCTCAGCTTCTGTTTTCCTTTGGAGCCCAACAGTGATTTCTGCCCTTCAGAGCTGCTGAGTTGCACACTTTAGTGTTTGTGAAGTTTGCATCAAGTGTGGAAGTTGTGTAGCAGTGGCAAGCCAAAGCTAGGCATATGAAAGGCCATGGAGGAAAGTTGTGTCTGAAGACACGCTGCTCCCAGATAGGTTATCCTGGCTTATAAGACATCTCAGACTAATTAAACTTTAATACTATGGTTAGAGAGGGCTAACAGCTCTGGTCTAGCCTGACCCATTTCTCAATGTGCTTTTGTGCCTGCCCCATTTTTTTCACCTTCCTTCCCCTGCTGTAATCCTTATGGAACATCTGCCCTAGCCAGGAACAAACGGTAGCTTGTTCTCTGGGTGCCACGTCCTTGCCGGTACGCTCAGGTCCTGAGATCCTTCCGCCCTTTGTTCCTCTAGCGCTTTACCCCCGCCCCCAACTCCGTAAGACTTGATTAATCCAAACGCTGAAATCCCGCAGGTGGCTGTAGTTATTTTTAGCATTAATGTTAGAGCTCTGCAAAGGGTAGATGAAAATTTATGCTTTTGTCTCCTACAAGTCTCACAGCTTCTCCTTTCTCTGCTACAACTTGGATGGATTCCAACATCCCCCCAAATACTCAAAATTGCCTTTTATTTCTTTAGTTGAAGAGCTGTGAAAACCAGCAGTTTTGCCTCATGACCATGGGGCAGAGTGGGTCCCGAGTCCCTTCTGGAGTTCAACATGTTCAGCTCTTGTTTGCAGACATTAAAACTCATAAATCTTCATCCTGGAAAGAGCCTTTTTAGCACTTTCTGTTGCGGGCTGGGAGAAGAAATATTGTTTAAGCATGTGAGCATTGAAACAGAACTTTCATAGTGGAAACTTGTTTTATTTTCTACTTTAATGTTTTCATCCACTCTCCACTTCCTCCTGCAGCTAACATACCTGTCCTTGACTTCAGCAGGCTCCCAGTTTGTGCTTGTGTTGGTGTGGATGAAGATTTTTTTTTTCAGTAAAAAATGTCAAGAATGCATTTGTGTCTCTCTCTGTGTCTTGTGCGTCATTCTTCTTCCTGGGCTCTGCACATTCAAGCATGACCATAGTGTTACAGTCTGACCAGACCCCCACTTAAAATGAATTTGATGCGTCAGGGAGGCAGATGTAATTGCCATATATTTTCCAGGACGTGTTTAGGCATGCATGTGCCCACTTGTGCCAGTTGAGACCTTCTGTTTTCTCCATTTTCCTCTCCAGCTTGCAGTCCTAGTTCTGCTCCCCATACACAGGGAGGACTGCAGTCCTGGTCTGTGGGGGCACAGAATGTTCCTTGATGATGAATCAGAAAAAGTTATTGATATCTAAATTATTTTGCTTTTCTGAAAGCAAAATTTCTCTATTTGTTGCAGCATTTTCTAAAATCGTGATGATTATCAGCAATACCTAGTAATGTACCTTTGCAGCAATGCTGTAGGCTTTGGGAATTTTGGGGTTCTTTGTTGCTCTGAACACAGCTGTAGTTGCTGTGTTAGAGGATCCCACCTTTTCCTCCACCAAGCAGGATTTGCAGTGTGGCTGTGCTGCACTGCCAGCCACTGGAGGGCTAACCAGCTAGGGGTGTCTCCAATTATATGTTTCCCCATACAAACATGAAATGAATATGCCAAAGCAATTAACTAGACTTCATAAGCTTCAGCTGGCAAGCTTTCTGGAGGCTGTTCAAATAGGCAGCAACAGTTGCTGGATAGGCTGAGAGGGAAGTCAGCTCAGGGCATTTGTTTTGTTTAACTGGTGAGGAAGACACAGGCAAGCTGAAAGGGGAGAAGATTCATTGATCTTGTTTCACCTCAATGAAAAAAAATTTTAAAATTTGAGACATCTCTATATCTTCTTTTCTTTCAGTGTTGCCAGTGGAGAAACTAATCTTTTCAGCATCTGAATAGGATTAAAAATTTACCCTTACTCCCTACCATCACCAACACCTTTTTTTGGTAGGAATCAGTGAGTTGATTCTGATAACTTCTGTTTTGGCAAAAAGTGGTTCTTTTGCCTGAAGAGCTGAATGAGACAACTGCTGTTTTGACAAGCAGACAAAGCTGTCAGGCTCCTTTTCCCTGTGGGCGGCTATACTTCATGTTCCTGGTGCCAAATAACATTTGACATTTAATTTAAGACCCTCAGTGCCTGCATATAAAGCTTTACTATGATAATAGTGATAAAGTGTCCAAGTGTTGGATTTGACACTCGTTTCTTTCTCTCTCCTGGTGCATACTCATGTTCAATTTGGGCTGAAGGATATGACTTGAATTAAGCAGAGGAGGAGACTTAACCCTGAATTTTTTTTTTAATGAATTGAGGAGGCCTGACTTGAAGATAAAGATCTAACTATGATTCTTATTCTGACTGTGAGATCTTTCACTGGCTCACTGCTAAGTTGCAAGGCAGAATTTATGCAGAAGAGAAGGAATGGATGAGGGATAGTGTCAGCAGAACAGAAGGACCTTCTGTTTGTAATTCGTCCACATACTGTATTGACTAGTAATGCATTTCCCACAGAAAAAAAAAAAGAAGGCACTAATAGCATCCACAAGGCTGTGTTTGTACTGAGGAGATAACTGGATTTTTTCTGAAATCACACTGAGCTGCATCAGTGTTGATGGTGCTTTAGTCTATCCTGCAGGCAAAAGTAGGTCAGGCCAGCAGCTCCCAGGAGGAGAGGTCAGTGATGCCATGGCAGCTTGTCCCCTTTGGGGAGCACGGGCTGCACTGTTCTGGACGGGTGCGATGGAGGAGCAAATGACAGGAACAATATGTCTGTCTTTCATAAGCAGTCAAACTTGGAAAGAGCTGAGGTGGTGTGGTGGTTTGGAGCTGGCTCCCTGCCACGTCTCCAAACCCCACCGCAAGAGCTCCCCCGCCAAAACCAAGGGAAAAGAAAAAAACCCAAGAGAACCGAAATAAGAGAGAGAGAGAGAGAGCTAAAGCAATATATAAATATATTTACACTTATATTACATTTATGTACAATTACAAAAACTATATACACATAAGAAAGAAACCCCCAACACCTGAAAACAGAAAAGGGAAAATAGACTAAACAAAAAAAAAAAACAAAACAGGTATACACACTCAATAAAGAACTAGCCAAAGAAAACCTTAAAACTTTTCTTTAGATAGCACAATTGCACCAAACGCCGCCGCCACACTACCGGGCCCCGGATCGGCACAAACAACAGGCCCCGTAGGCCCGACCAGGCCTCAGCTCCCCCACAGCGAGTGAGACCGGCTGCAGGAGTCTGCTGTCTCCAAACCTTGCCGGAAGAGAAAAGAGGAAGAAGCTTCTCTCTCCATCTATTTATATGTTTGATTACTTAAAGGAATAGGATGGAATACTTCCTTCCTTCCTTCCTGGTTGCCAGGAGGGAAGGCCTAGACTCAAAACCGTTACAGGTGGTAATGCTGGGGCCCAGGTGGTATCAAGTCAGTGGTGCATTGTCCATGTAGTTCCCTTCCCTGGTGTACTTCCACAGGCTCTCTGCAGTAGCAGGAGTTGAACCTCCTGGTGTCAGTGACTCAGGATCTTAAACACACGTGTTATTTTTCGTGCCTAACACACATGCTAGCTATCCTGCCTTCTGACTGTACCCTGAGTTCTGGCAAAAGCAGGATGATTTACTCTTTTGATCGTACAAAAGGTGGCACAGAAACAGTCCTTGTCTCAGGAGATACAGGGACAATCAGAACTGAGCTAATTTTTTTTCTCCTTTTGCCTTCCACCATTTAAAAATGCCCTGCTACTGGGATCAACACCAATGCTTTGTCACTTGTGTTCGCTGAGCAGTGAGAAGAAGCCATGGTGAGTCATGCTTTTAATGTGGAGATTAAAATAGTATTCGTGAGTGTGTGTTGGAGACTGTCCTTATGCTACTGCTGGTAGAAAGCAATTGGGAGGTAAATTCTTACAGGATGATAAAAAGTGTTTTACAGAGTCCCTG